CGCAGCGAGACCTCATCTTTATGATAAATAAAAAAAATCACCCGGGCGTGGTAGCGCATCCCAGTAATTCCAGTTACTTGGAAGGCTGAGGCGGAAGGATCCCCGGAGCCCACCAGGTCGAGGCTGTGGAGGCCAGTAGCGACCACTGCACTACAGTCTGGGCGACAGAGTGAGACTCCACTCCAAAAAAAAAAAAAAAAAAGAAAATTATGTCCTGCTAAATATTACTTAGGTTAAAAAAAAAAAAAAAAAAGAACTCTGTGGCAAGTAAGTCTGGGAGCAGCTGCAAGCTGTATCCCCCTGTCAAAAAGTTAGTACTGCACGTTAGAATACTAAAGACTCTGAGAACTCCTGTAGTAAAATAATCCTGGTTAGCATCTAATTTAATTCCATTACTTTACAAATATTTCTAGAACATAACTCTGCTGTCTTATCTACTATAAGTGGTATAATATCCTTATAACTTATAAGGATTATTTAAAATAAAATTTAAATTTATAAAGAATATTACAAGAATTATTATAATAAGGAAATGTTATTATTCTGCAGAACACAGTCACTCCTTCATTCATTACATATATTAAGAGCCTACTGAGAACAAGGAATTTCTTCTGAAGATGTGGGAACCAGTATTTGACACAGTTCTTGACCTCAATGTGCCGGATACTGTTGAGAATCACCATATAGGTAGCTTCCTTAACTTAAACACATGATATGACTAAGGATTTCTGGGTTCTCTAGTCAGCTTTCTCTCCGCAAAATCATTTTTGCATATAAAAATACAGTTTTGTTCATGGGGAATACAGAAAGGGATCGCAACTAAATCTGAGAATTTGGGCTAAAAAACTTTTCCCATAGTGACAAGAATTCCAATAGAGTAGCATTCTTCTTCTTAAACATTAATAAAATATGTGTAAAACAATGTAAGATTAAAATATGTTCAGAATCCTCAAGATAAAAATTGTAGTTTGTAGAAAAGTGAAGAAGCTTAAAATAATATGAATCTCATGAAAATCTAGCAACAAAAACGGCATGAGGCAAAGCAACTTGATGCTAGAAAAATGTTAATTCTTAAGATCATTCCTACAGAAAAGTAGGAAGAATTTAGAAATAGTTGCTTACTAAGTGTAACTACCATTTATATAACCCTCCATTATACTATTGAATTAACTGATCTATATATGTTTTATATAAAATCATCTAATTCTTTCAACAACTTTATGAGCAAGGTAACTTTAATCTATATCTTATAGATGAGAAATCTTGAGGTTCAGAGAGTTGAGAAGTTTTCTCAGGATCACATTAGAAACCTAGAACTCTCTGAATTTAAATTTTGTTTACCCCCCCATTATGATACGAGGCCTCTTTTGTACCACTGTCTTGCCATGCTGTCTTTTCTTTTCTAACTTACAGAAGTAGCAAAGATAGTGTCTCAGTTAACAGGAAGTGGTTAAATAAAAGTTCTCAAAGTTTTGAAAACTATAATAATGGAGAGGATGAGGAGAAAAGTGAACACTTCTACACTGTTGGTGGGAGTGTAAATTAATACAGCCTCTGTGGAAAACAGTTTGGCGATTCCTAAAAGATCTAAAAATCAACCTTCCATATGACTCCGCGATCCCCCTACTGGGAATATACTGAGTAATTCAAATCACTCTATGAAAAAAGATAATTGCACATGCATGTTTATCGCAGCATTATTTACAATAGCAAAAACACAGAACCAACCATGCTGCCCCTTGAAAGAGAACTGGATAAAAAAATATGGTACATATACACAATGGAATGTTACACGACCATAAAGAAAGACAAAATTATGAACTTTGCAGCAACTTGGATGGTCCATAATACTGAGTGATCTATCACAGAAACAAAGAACTGAGTATCACATGTTCTCACTCATAAGTGGACCTTGAACAATTATCGCAATACTATAAGAAAAGAATTGGCAGTAGTGAGAAACTGCCAGGGGATGGGGAGGTGGGATTGGCAATAGTGAGAAACTGCTGAGATAGGGGAGGACACACCTCATCAACAAGGGTACCTGCATAACGAACATTTGTATACCTAAGCCTGAACTGTACTCCACATCTTTAAATTGAAAAATAATAATAATAATAAAAAGAAAACTGTAATAATAGACCAATTACTATTACTATCGGGAGCAGGAGCAGTGAACATTAAAACTGAAACTGCAGAAACAAATCAAGAGTTTACAAATCAAGATAAATATGGAATATATCTATAATGAAGAACTAAGAAGATATTTAGTAAGATGAAAACTTAGATAACAGAACAGAGAGATTCAACTATGAAAAGCAGCATTTCCTAATTAAGACACAACACATAGCACAAAAGCACAAAATCAACAATCAAGAACATAATAGTAGAAACCAAACACTTGAGGCATTAAATATAAAAAGTTGCATAAAAGGTAGACTATCACAAGTGGAAGAAACTAAGAAGTAATTCAGTAAGTGTAAGTTTCCTCTTTTACATATGGGAGAATAAAGACAAAAAGAATAAATTTTTAGTCACATATCATGTCACTAATGAAAGCAAGACGCAAAATGGAGTCTCTTGCATTTGTTTTGTGATTTCCTGAGTATTACTTTTTCCTGAAATAAATTAAAATCTGGAAGCAACTAAATGACATGACCTCAAAAGAAGCTTATATTACAAGAAAATAGAAATCATTTTATTTCTATATACTTATAGAAAATATTCTATATTATAATTAAACAAAAAAGGCTACATTTAATTTCATAAATATTAATTTATTAATTACATATTAATTTATTAATTACATAGATATAATTCCATTGTCTCCATATTAATGTATCATTAGTTGGATGCAACTGTCCCATTTTTAGATCTAAAACATCTTTAGACATTTACTAATCAACCACTTTTTCTATGAAATTATACTAGAGGCACAAACCAAACTTTTCAAGGATGGATTTCAAAGATATTCTCAACTGAAAATGCTATAAGAAATAATCAGGAAAAATGATAAAATAATATCAACCCATCAAAGAATGAAATATTTAAAAAGCACATCTATAAAAGGTTTATTGTTTATAAGAATAATAAGTAAAACTGTCAAAACAAAACTGAAAATATAAAAGTTAGAAGAGAAACACAGGGCATTGTGGCATGTACCTGTGGTCCTGGCTACTTCAGGATGCTGAGGTAAGAGAATAATTTGAACCCAGGAGTTTAAGACCAACCTGGACAAAATAATGACACCCCCACCTCAGCCGGGCTCAGTGGCTCAGCCTGTAATCCCACGCTTTGGGAGGCTGAGGTGAGTG